ATATATATATATATATATATATATATATATATATATACTATATATATATATATATATATATATATATATATATATATATATATATATATATATATACTAGATTCTTTTAGGGTATTATTTCTTTTGAACATTGCTAATTTTTATTAACTTATTATTTTTTAATAACTTTTATTTAAACCTACAAGAAGAAGAAACATTATAAAAGAATTACAAAATTTATCAATTAATTACACAACTACAGAAACAATTACAAAGAATCGAAAGCCAAGTTGAAACATTTATATAAAATGATAATGTTAATATTAATAATTAATAATAACATTTCAACTTGGTTTCCTATTCTTCTGAACTTATTTCTTTGTCATTCAATTAATAATTAATTAATTTTAGCATTTTTTCCCAATCACAATTAGATAAAGCTAATTATTTTATATTATATAGATATGTATTATATAAATATGTATGAATATGATCTAGAAATATCAAATTGAAATATTCATATAATAAAATGGTAACATTTATATTTTTATACTCATTTTAAGACATATTTTTATATTCTATTTTAATTTTACTCTTAATTTAAACGATTTCATTCACTCATATTTTAATTTCACTTTTAATTTAAACGATTTCATTCACCCATACATATCCCTTTTTGTATTGAGAGTATTGTTTATGTCACTTTTACATCGTTTTTTTATACACACATACTAGATCCTTTTAGGGTATTATTCAATAACATCTCTTTTGATATTGATAACTTTCATGTAATTTTTATTTAAAAAATGCTAAAATTAATTAATCAATTGAACGACAAAGAATAAAGTTCAGAAGAATAGGAAATTGAAATGTTAATATTAACATTATCATTTTATATAAAGGTTTCAACTTGACTTTAGATTCTTTGTAATTGTTTTTATTGTTTTTATAGTCGTGTAATAATTGATTGATAAATTTAACAATTCTTTCATTTCTCCTTATGAAGAAAAGATATTTATCTATTATAATGTTTCTTCTTCTTGCAGGTTTAAATAAAAGTTACATAAAAGTTACATAAAAGTTACATAAACGTATCAATGTTGAAAAGAGACAAATGATATTCTAAAAGGATCTAATATGTTTATACAAATAAAACAATTAATGATGAAGTTAAAATTATGATTTTAGATGAGTATAAAAATATAACAATGTTATCATTTTATTACATGACATCTCAATTTCAATTTAACATCAAATTCAGAACATTTCAATTTAACTTCAGATTCTTCATAACTGTCTTTGTAGTTATTCAATTAATTAACTAATTTTAGTATTTTTTCTATTGATTTTTATTGAAAATATGTAAATTAATTGAATTTATTTATTATATGTT